TGGACTTTAGGTATGAGTTTGAGAAAAATTTAAAAGTCAGGCATGAGTTTTAAACCTATGCTACCTGTGTAACCTTGTTACATACGTAACCTTGGCTAAATAGATTCATCTCTTCTGTTTGTTTTCTCGTCTGTAAAATGGGTGGATTGGGTGAATAGTGATCTCTGAAGCTTCTAGCTCTCAATCTATGATCTTATGATCTTTTTTTTTTTTCAGCCAAAGAACATCTATCATATTGGGCAGACTCTTAAGGAGTCTGAACATTAGTAAACTATTGGCTAGATTATAAGAATCTGACCAGTGGCTAGATTTTAAGAATCTAAGCCTCTTATGATCTTTAAGGTTCATTTCATCCTATCATTTTATTTGGTGTTGAAAGATTAAGTTTACATAACTAGAAAATGGCAGAGTCAGAATTTGAACTTGGGTTCTCTGACCTCAAGTCCAATAATTAACTACTTACGCTGATCTGCCACTGATTGGTACTAATGATCCCTGAGGACCCAGAGTGGGTACATTCAAATCCTGCTTAATACCAGCTTCCTCATCTGTAAAATTAGGAGGTTGGATGAGGTGGCCTCCAAAGTCCTTTTTAACTCTAGATCTACGATCTTGTATGCATGATGTCCTATATCTGATTCTATATGAATGTATCTGTGACTGCAGTGGATAAAGTACTGGGCCTGGAATCAAGAAGACTTATCTTGGTGAGGGCAAATCCAGATTCAGACACTTCCTAGATATGTGATCCTGGACAAGTCACTTTACCCTGTTTGCCTCAGTTTCCTCATTTGTAAAATGAGCTGGAGAAGGAAATGGCAAACTACTTCAGTATCTTTGCCAAGAAAACCCCAAATGGGGTCAGAAAGAGTCAGACACAACTGAAGTGAATGAACAACAACAATAAATATATCGTATTTATTATGGAGGTCTGTGATCTCTAGAAAGTGAGTAATTTTTTTTTCCTAATAAGATTAGACCCACAGAAGCCTTCTCATTTATCCTTCATTAAATCTTATTGTTGCATGCTCTCAGTTTCTCTTTTCAAAGATTTTAGGGCCTATATGTGCCATAACAAGTTCTAATAAAGGGAAGGAGAGGGAAAAAGGTCTTAACCATAAGGGAAACAGTCAGCAGCAGAGGTATCTGAGCATCTCAAAGAGGGAAATCTATGAAGGGAGACTACAATGGAGCTGTGAGAGAGGAAAAAGGGAGGTGTGGGAGTCAAACTTCACCTGTTCCAGAAAGCAGAAACCAAACAGAGAAAAGAGAAAAAAATAGCAACTTAACTTGAAAAAAAGTGGTGCATGGAATGCAACATGAAGAGGAAAGAAAGGATGGTGAAGGAAAAATTGAAAAAAAATGAACAACAAAAAAAAGATTAGACTACAAAGGGAAGGCCCAGTCCTCTTGATCGACCCAAGTCCTCATGGGTAGTGTTTAGTTAGCATTTCAGACTGAAGTCTCAGCAAATGGGAAGACCCTGGACCCTACCCAGAAGGTGAATAAATTCAGACTTTGCTGAAGTAACAAAGTTGACCATTGCCACCAGATCTCTCAGAAGTTAAATCTCAGAACTGGTCCCTGAGGTTCCAAAGTTAATTCTAGCTGTCAGCGTGTGTTTAGGGAAAGAGAAGTTGTTCTGTTAACTCCCTTTCCTTGGTAGCCCTCTGGTTGAACAGAAAAGTGAGGATAGAAAATTCTTCCCTGCCTCAGTTTCCTAAGTTTGTGCTGTTGTGTACAAACTCACCTTGAATATATTGGTATTTATTCATTTTATGTTTATGCTGTAATATATCTGATATGTCCTTGTCATCTCTGCCACTAAAATGTAAACTCCTTGTGAGTAGAGATTCTTCATTCTTTGTACTTCTGTACCCAGTGCCTAGCACATCATAAATACTTGTGTTGATTGATTGATCAGCTCGTTGGCTGGTTTTATCTTCAAACCTAACCCTCTGATTTTACAGATGGGGAAACTGAGGCATAGAGCGCTACAGTGATTTGCCAGTGGTCACACAAATGGGAAGTGGCAGAACTAGGCTTTGAACCCACTTCTTCTGATTCCAGATCCAATGTTCTTTCCACAGTACCATGCTGCCTCCTAGGATTTGAGTCCTGGTTTTGCTGGCAAATTGTTACACTTGATGACATCAATTCCTCCACCATCATTTCCTCCTGCGTCAGATGAAGGGGTTGGACTTTGTGATCAGTAGGTGCCTTTGCCCCTTAGATCAGCTGTATGGGAATTAGTGAATTCAAGGGTTATCTGCAAGGAAGATCCATTAACTGCAAATTTAACTAGTATTTACCATGTTGTTTATACTGTCTTTGCAAGCACTTATCACCTTAGGAATAGGGGTACACATTGAGGTCAAAAGCAGGTCCCCTGAGGCTTTCAGTTGGCCTTTTTTTTAAACTTCAGCCATTTACCAATGTTGTGCTACAGGATCATAGTTCATAGCTTTAGTTGCTTAGCCAACAAGCATTTAAGTGCTTGCTGCGGCCAGAAGTGTGTTAAGTGTTGCTGCTACTTGCTACTGTTTGTGCTTCATTCTCAAAGAGGACCGTGACGTCAGGGAGGTGATGTTGTGACATGCAAGTGAATTGGATTGAAGTGAGGGAGGGCTCTGCAAAGTCACCAGCCTCACTTTCTCCTCCGGAGCCATCTGGGTCCAGTGGCCAGATATGGATCAGGCCAACTGGAGATGGCTCAGGATTCAGTGGGAGACCTTGGCCTTTTTAAGCTAAGGTCTTTAATAGGTTCAGTCTGACTGAGGCATTAAGTGTTAGGGATGTAATGAAAGAGAAAACATGATTCCTTCCCTCAAAGAGCTCACATTTTTTTTTTTTTTTTTTTTGATAAGGCAATTGAGTTGGTGACTTATCCAGAGTCACACAAGGGAGCTCACATTCTAGTGCATGAGTTTTGGTGTTGTTCAGTCATGTCCAGCTCTTTGTGACTCCATGATGAGGTTTTCTTGGCAAAGACACCAGAGTGGTTTGCCATTTCCTTCTGCAGTGGATTAAGATAAATAGAGGTTATGACTTGCCCAGAGTCACACAGCTGGTAAGTATCTGAGGCTGCATTTGAACTTAGGTCTTTCTGACTGTAGGCCCAGCAGCACTCTCTCCCCTAAGCTACCTAGCTCCCTCATATCTTTACATCTCTCTCTCTCTCTCTCTCTTTCACTCTCACTCTCTCTCCCCCTTCTCTCCTCTCTCTCACTCTTCTTCCTTTCCTCTCTTTCTCCTTCTCTCTCTTTTTGGGTGAGGCAATTGGGGTTAAGTGACTTGCCCAGAGTCACACAGCTAATAAGTGTTATGTGTCTGAGGTCAGATCTGAACTCAGGTCCTCCTGACTCCAGGGCCAGTGCTCTATCCACTGCGTCACCTAGCTGCCCCTCTCTCTCATTCTCTATCTCTTCCTTTCTGTCTGTCTCTGTGTGTCTGTCTGTTTCATTTCTCACTTGTTGACTCTGCCTGTTTCCCTCCCTCTACCACTATATCATCTATATCAATCTCACTGATATCTATATCTGTTTATATCAATATCCATACCTTTCCTTCTCCAGTACTCTTCTCTTTCTGTATCTCTCTCTGTCTCTCTGAGTTCTAACAACCTCAACCTAATCCAATACTCAAATAGGCTTACAGAAAAAAAATCCAGAATGTAACAGATTTTGTTTTATCTTTTTTCTGCTTTTGCACCCCAAAACTCTACTTGGGCCCCAGAATGGTGCAATGAAAAGATAGCTGAATTTAGAGCTAGAGGTCCTAGGTTCAAATCCCACATCTGCTACTTAGTAATTTTATTTCCCTGGGCTTCAGTTTCTTTCTTTGTGATAATAATAATAGCTAGCTTTTATATAGTGCTTTAAAATGAAGTGGTTGGACCAGATCATCTTTAAAGTCCCTTCTAGTCCTAAATCTCTGATCTGATGATTCTCACGAGCCTCCCTTATTTTGTTTCAACCTTGCCTCTAATAGGAGGATAAATTACTCCATTCAGTTCTAAATTGACTCCATTCAGCTACCTCAGAGACTATAGAGGACAACTTATTCTATAGTCACAGAGTCCTTCTTGTCTTTTGGGATATGCTGGGCTCTGGGCAACCAGAATGTAAAAGAGGGTCATTAGTAGAATATGTTATTGTTCAGTCATTTCAGTTGTGTCTGACTCTTTGTGACCTCATTTGGGGTTTTCTTGGTAAAAATACTGGAGTGGTTTACCATTTCCTTCTCCAGCTCATTTTACAGAAGAGGAAACTGAGACAAACTTGCCCAGCATCACACAGCTAGTAAGTGTCTGAGGCTGGATTTGAACCCAGGCCTTCTTGACTCCAGGCCCAATACATGTGCCATCTAGCTGCCCCTTAGTAGAATAGACCTCTCACATTCAGTGATTCAGCTTTCTCTGTGGCTGAGGGATTTAGAGGGAAAATTACCAGTACTGTCCTCTTGACCAGCCTAGGGACTTTACTATGTCTTACTTTCCAGATAGCCTTTTGTGAGGCACCTCACTCAGCTAGAGGTAGGATTAGTCATGAGATCTTAACCCGGGGAGCTGCAGGAGCCCAAATAAGTGGTTCTCATCTATAGTGTTTATGTTGTTCGTGACATTGGGGGTTCCCTTCTAGCTCTCGCACTTTATGACTTAGCAACACCACTTTTCTGAAGATGTCAAGGAGAGCAGGTCTTCTGTGAGCTACACTGTGCAAACGTGATGCAAAGGTGACACAACCCTTTCATGTTGGGTAGAAGCTTTAAGATGACTACTGCTCATGTTTTGTTGAGCATTGGATATTAATTTCTGAAAAGGAAATTAGAGGCTTGAGAGGACATCAGAGAGACATTTTAGTCCTTCTCTTTACCTTTGTTAGGGGATTTTCTAAATATGTCTAACTATAGTCCATCCCCTCTTTGTAGCTTTCCCCATTTGTAAAGTTGAAAGAGGTTCTTATTTAATAAAGAACTTTTAAATAAAGTCTGAAAAGTTTGTTCTGTACCTCTCAAAACAACAACAGCAACAGCAACAAGACGGATGGCATGAGAACTGAAAACAGCCAAGAGGCAAAGGTATGAATGATTCTAGTTTGTTGTATTGTCAACAATGACAATATACAAATCATAGTATATAGAGATTGAAGAGACCTCAGGATAGAACAATGTAGAATGTAAGAGCTGAGAGGTACCTCAGGAGCCACCGAATCCAACCCCCCCTTATTTTACACATGAGGAAACTGAGCCTAAGGGAGTTCGTGACCTGCATAAAGTTAAGCAGAAAGTAAAGCCTTTTAGTCTTGATGGCCATATAGAGCTCTGATGCAAGTCATAGCATGTTAGAGGAGGGACCTTAGGCCATGAAAAATAGAGTAATAGATCTGAGAGGTACCTGAAGACATTCGTTATGAATGTAAAGTGTCAGAGCTGAAGGGCCTCCAGAGATCATCTAGTCCAACCCCTTAATTTTGTAAAGTAGGAACTTGGGATCTAGAGAGTAGAAAGTGACTCAGCCACATAGTAAGTTAGTGGAAGGGGCAGAACCAGAATCCAGGTCTTTTTAAACTCCCACACCAAAGTAAGCTCCTAGAGAGGAGGGATTACTTCATTTTGTATATATTGCCAGCACCCTGCACAGGACTTGGAAATAGGCATTTAATAAATGCTTATTGATTGATTTTTCACCAAACCACGTTGCCTCCATTTAATTCTTTATTATTGTTTAGTCAATGAGTTGTGTCCAACTCTTTGTGACCCCGTTTGGGGTTTTCTTGGCAAAGATACTGGAGTGGTTTGCCATTTTCTTCTCCATTTTACAGATGAGAAAACTGAGGCAAACAGGGTAAAGTGACTTGCTCAGAGCTAGTTAAGCATTCGAAGACAGATTGGAACTCAAGGCTTCCTGACTCTAGGGCCAGCCACTCTATCCACTGCGCCACCTTGCTGCTCATCATTTAATTCTAGTGAGTTATTTAATTCAGTTGAGGCCATTGAGTGAAGAACTTACCTTCAATCATTTACTATATTTCTGGCTCTCAGACCTGACAGTGTTGGGGATTAGCAGACAGATGTCAAGGGGTTGGCCAGTGACCTCAGAGTATGGCAAGAACAATGAAAATGAGAATCTGCACAGGGCTGGAACCATACTACATTGGCCACAAGGAGGCAATATTGACTTTGGCAAAGCTGTGGAATAGGTGGAATTTGATTCCTGCACTTTCTTCTGTGTCTCTGGGGGCTCTTCACCTGTCTCTCCTCTCGGGAGGCTCCCTCCTTTAGGTTCTCCCACACTTCTGCTGATGTCTGCTTTCCTTATTGTCCAAATCTTCTCCCTTTTTCTTCCCTTCTCAGAATTTACCTGTTCTGTGTCCCATTCCTGAAGGACTTTATTCTCTACTATCTGTCAAGGAGAACACTAATCTTGCAGAAGGTGCTGATGGCTAATTATGATCCAAGTAAGGTAATACCTCCAGGAGTATTTGCATTTTAATAGGTGCGGAGTAGAGAAGTGGGGATTAAAGGATCATAACTCTAGATCTGGAAGGTACCTTAGAGGCCATTTGGTACAATTCTCTCATTTTACAGACCAGGAAATTGAACCCCAGAGATGTTAAGTGATTTCCTGAGTTCACACAGATAGTTAAGTGCCAGAGGCAGGATTACAACTCTGGTCACTTCAAGTTCATAGCTTTTTCTACTACCCTAAACATAGCAGCCTTGGATAATGGATAGAGGGCAAGATTTAGCATTAGTTGCCTCTGATACATATTAGCTATGTGACCCTGGGCAAGTCTCTTAACTTCTCAGGGCTCTAGGAAACTCTGTGACTGTAAGCTGCCAATCAGCACTGCCAGAAAGTTTCCACTCTAGTTGTTCTACATATATAGGATCACAGATTTGTACCAAAAAAAAAAAAGAGGGAAAAATAAAACCATTCGATTAAACTTGAGACAGACCTTTGTAATCAAGTACAACCTCTCTGCCCTATTCATCCTCACCTTATTTTAGTTGATTAAGGAAACTGAGGCACAAAGGAGTTAAGCAATTTGCCCAAGGCCACAGGGAGACCAAAAAGCAAAATCATAAATAAAACCTAGGTTCTCCAACTCCAAATTCAGTGCTCTTGTTACCACACCGGGCTTGGCTTCTCCTGGAAAAATCTATGTCATAACCCCAGAGAAGGAGTCGGGAAGTGTGAACTGCTCAAATAATATGAAATAGACGACAGTGTACTTTGGCCACATAGGAACAAAACTGGCTTTGCCCAGCAGCACAAGAAGGCATTTGACTTTTCAAGGTGGGTTCAATTCAATTATGCCTTTGTTTTGCACGTTTTAAAATAGGAATAATACTTGTCTCTTTTCCTGCAGGACACTTGGAGCCCCTCAGGCCATAAGGATATAGGCATAATAATGAGAATAATAACGCACATTGCCATAGTTCATTTAAATTTACAGAGATGTTTCCTCACGAAAATGGTAGTGTGACTATAATCCCCGTTTTACAGATGAAGAAACTGAAGCTCAGAAAAGTGAAATGACTTGTCCAAGCTGAGAAGTGACATAGCGGATTCAAACCTCTGCCCTGGGACTCCAAATCCAGTGCTCTTTCAGCTATATAACATGCCAGTTTTTTTCCTGCTGTGTAAATGTGGGACTTTCAAGTGCTCCCCCCCAACTCCTCTTTTGAGCGTAAATGCTTAATCTCTTAGTAGCTCATTCTTAGATAGTGGGTGGAGGAACCCACTGAATTCTTTTTTTTTTTTTATTAATTTATTTTTAGTTTTCAACAATCACTTCCACTGAGTTCATCTTGTCTGGCTTATCAAGCACATCAACCAGGTGCCAAAGCTGGTAGGAGTAGTTGAATTAAAGTAAAGCGCGTTTCCCAGAAATAAATTTGTCAAAGAAAGTAAACTGAAACACTTTTACCCATCCCTTTGTACATGTTAAGGCAGTAATTTCCTGCTCCTTTTTCTTGAGGCAGTATGGGGCAATGAAAAGCACATTCAACATGATGTCACCTTCCATCTGGATCATTCTTTTGGCATTCATCTTGCCTTAGGTTGGAATTTATATGTTATGGGTATGTTCTATCTGCTCTTCAGAGGTTAACTTCTTAATGGCAGGGACAATACCTTGCCTTCTTTAGATCCTGTGTGTGGCCCTACTGCTATGCCCCCACATGCAGCAGATACTCAACGAATCTTTGTTACATGAATGGATTGTTATACTTTTGTATTACTGCGACATTTTGGAATCTAGAAACAAGAACATTTAATAAGTTGATGCAACCTGATGCAGTGTCTGAGCTAATAGAGGATCGTATAACACAGATGGATTTGTTGACTCTTAAAATAGAGGTTATAGAAATTAAGCTTCAGTGTAGAGTCTGGCCTTTCTTCTTTTTGTTGTCATTGTCACTCAAAGTTGATGGCATCCAACCGAGTGCCAGGACCAAAAATTTCAGTAAGCACATGGAAAGCAATGCTCCAGTGGTCCACTTGGGAATTGGAGAATTCTGCTGGTAAAATTCAGCCAGAACAAAAGGGGCTAAATTGGGTACATCCCCAGATTCTGAGGATAAGGTCAGAAAAGTTAGGCCATCCAAATAGACTCTAAAAAATACCTGTGTAGAATGAATGAGGTTAGTTTTATACAGAAGTCACCTGTTCTGTAGGTTTGTAATAATGCACCACAGCCTTTCCAAATATAACCCATCCGAGTGCAGTTATTGCATTGTGCCTAGGCATTATCCTGGGTCCTTATTCAGCTGATGAGCCTCATTGATGCTCCTCCTTTGACAACAAGTAAATTCTTTGACAAGATACGAAATTGTCTTAGACGTGAATTTGCCTTAGTTATTTGTGGGGTTGTTAATACCACAGGACTCCATTATTGATGATGAAGTCCATGGCTAGTAAGTACTTACATCTGAGCTACACCCTTGGTCATAGCCTTTGGAGGAGAGCTATTTGTGGATTCCAGAGGCTACAGAGCTGGAGGGAGAATGATTAAACAGCGAATATAGGGGTTAAACATAGAAACATGGACTTGATTACCCAGAAGAAGGCCTATGCATCCACTTGGCCCCTCTAGGGAATCACATAACCTCTCTTCTCCCAGGAAAGGAGGAATGAAGTGGCTCTATAGCCATTGAGGGAATTATGTGGCTCTCTAGGGAACCACAAAGACTCACAAGAGAGAGGCTAGGGAAGGAAGACAGGGAGGTAGAAACTTTGGACCAAGCCAAGTAGTTCTTAGAATAAGCTTTCTGGATGCAAAGGGTTATTGGACCAAGGAGTAAGCTGGTACATAATTGTAATGAGGAGCAAATCTCAACCTTGACCTTCACTGGGGCAGTAAGCTACATGGGCAGTGAGTGTCCAGGGGAAGGTGGTTGATATCCCAGATTTCCAATTATTGAGCATAGAGCCTTCCAAAAATGAGGCCATGCTCAAAAGACTCCCTTTCCACTCTCCTTCTCATCTTGCATCATTAAGACCTCTTCTTCCACTATCTCCTCCTTCACTTAGGTCTTGAATGAAGATGTTAACTTTCTCCTTGCCAAGACCAACCCTTCTATATGCACCTTTGATCCCATCCCTTTCTTTATTCTCTAGCATACTGCTTTCACCCATTTTTTTATCTCTCCATGTTTCTTTCCCTGCTTCCTACAAGCATGCCCATGTCTTGCCTTATCCTGAAAAAAACCTCACTTAATCTGACCGTTCCCACTAGCTATTGTCTTATATCTCTCCTGCTCTTTTGGGCTAATATCCTTAAGAAGCCATATACACTCAGGGCCTCATCATCTTCTCCTCTTTCTTCTAAATCCTTTGGCAACCTGGCTTCTGATTTTATCACTCAGCTGAAACTGCTCAAGACAAAGTTATTGATGATCTCTTGATCTTGGTCTTCTTTAAATCCTGATCCTTCTTGACCTTTCTACAGAATCTGACCCTGTTGATCATCTTCTCCTGGGCACTCCCTCCTCTTTGGGTTTTCATGACAGTGTTCCCTCCTGCTTCTCCTCCTACCTGTCTGGCTGCTCCTTCTTTGGCTCTTACGCTGGTTCTTAATGCGTGTCATAAATAGTAACTGCGAGCATCACCTAAGGCTTAATTCTGGGTCCTCTTTTCTTTTCCTTCTATACTGTTTCACTTGGGGATCTCATCAGCTCCCATGGGTTTGGTTCTCATTTCTATGCAAATGATTCCCAGATCTTTGTATCCAGTCTTAGTTTTACATTATCAGCTTAGTTTTACATCATCAGCTGCCTTCTGGACATCCCAAATTGGTTGTTCCATATTCATCTCAAACTGAACTAGCCCCAAAATGAGATCATACCTCTCCCCCCTCAAAACCTTCCTCTCTTCTTAACTTCCCTATTATGGTCAAGGGCGCTATTATCATTCCACTCATCCAGGCTTACAACTCCAGTGTCATCTTCAGCTCCTTTGTCTTGATCACATCAGATAGCTAATCAGCTGTCAAATTTTGTTATTTCTTTCTCCATACTATCTGTCATGTATATTCCCTTTTCTAAATTCATACAGCCATCACCTGTTCAGGCTTCTTACCTGGACTATTGAAATATCCTTCTAATTCATCTCCTTGCATGAATTCTCTCCCAAATCTAACCCATCCTTTACTTAGTTATCAAAGTGATTTTTCTAAAGCACAGTTCTGACTGTGTCACTCTCCCAATCAATAAACTCCAATGGCTCTCTATTACATCCAGGATCAAATATATTATCATCTGTTTCTCGTTTAAAGATCTGGGTAACCTGGCCCCTGTCTTATCTTTGCATTTCTCTTATACTTTACTCCCTTCTACCCTAGGATCCTCTGACACTGGCTAACTTGCTGTTCCTTGAAAATAATGTTCCATCTCTCATCTCAGTGTCTTTGCACTGGCTGACCCTTGAGTCTTAAATGTCCTCTTTCCTTCAAGAGTCAACTCCAGTCCTATCTTCTTTTCCTGTTCTCTCCAACTGCTAGTGCCTTGTCTGATATTTCCTTCCACCTATTCTATATGTACTTTGAATGTGCCTAAGTGGTTTACTCATTGCCTCCATAATTAGATTGCAAGCTTCGTGAGTGAGGGGATCATGTTTTTGTCTTTTTTTGTGTCCCCAGTGCTTAGTACAGTGTCTGGCACACGATAAACACTTAATAAATATTTGATGACTTGATTTCAATGGCCCTTGGGCCAAAGGGGGTTTATATCGGCTGGGGAGAACATGACTATCAGTGTTTTCATGATATCTCTTCAGTGGATCTGGATTGCACAAGGTTTGCCAAGGAATTTATGACAGGAGATACATCTTATCTTTTGGAGGGGGCTTTAGAAACCAAGGGCAGCTAATCTCTAGTAAACAACTTAAGAAGTAGCACAGGAATTTAGAGCATGGATATGTACCTGTCATATAGGCAGCTAATGGAACTAACTCAGTACTGCAGCTGCTGTCCCTCATACTAACCTGGGGAGAAAGACATTGTTTCAGGGCTCATCTATCCCTTACCTGCGCATGTCTGAGAAAATGGGGAAGGGCATAGAGGTCAAGGTGATGCTATCACTTCGGCTGACTTTGTGAGTCTCGATCTGTCTTGCTGAGCCATTTGGTATATAAAGCCTCAAACAAATTATAGCACGCAGCCCAAAGCATTGAGATATTTTCCAGGGATACATATCACTTTGGGAAAAAGAAATGCAGATGTGCAGGTTTAAAAGCCTAGGCAACCAGACTGCCCTGAGCCAAATTACTCCATTCCAGCAAGGTTTGATCTAGTTTTCTTGGCTCTCTCATCTTCCAACACATATAGTTCTATAACTATATATGTATAAGGGTCCAATAATCAATCAGTCAAAAGCATTTATTGAACCTATGCTTTGTGGCAGGCACCATTAAGGCTTTGAGAATACAAATACAGAAAATGAAACAGTCACAAGGAATTTACATTCTGTTATAGGAAACTACATGTAAATATGTAATATTTGCCAAATATATACAAGATAAATGCAAGGTAATTTTGAAAGGGGAGATACTAGTAGCTGGGGAGATCAGGAAAGACATCATTTGGTGGCACTTTAGATAGGCTGTGAAAGAAGGAGTGTATTTTAAGCATGAGGGATAGCCAGAGCAAAAACATGGAAATGGGAGCTGGCATACCATCTGTGAGGAATCAGAAGAAGGTCACTTTTACTGGACCATAGAGTATCTGAAAGGGAGATGTATATAATGAGATTGGGAAGATAGT